TGACATGCTCATCCTCCTGGTGTGTCAACTGCACCACTCAGCTTGGTGTCATCTGCAAACTTTCTGAGGGTGCACTCGATCCCACTGTCTGTGTCATTGATGAAGATATTAAACAGCACCGCTCCCAGTACAGACCCCTGAGGGAACTCCACTTGTCACTGGTCTCCATTTGGACATTGAGCCGTTGACCACTACCCTCTGGATGCAACAATCCAGCCAATTCCTTATCCACCAAACAGTCCACCCATCAAATCCATATCTCCCCAATTTAGAGAGAAGGATGTTGTGGGGAAGGCTTTACAGAAGTCCAAATAGATGATGTCCATTGCTTTTCCCTTGTCTAGTGATGCAGTCAGTCCTTCATAGAAAGCCACTAGGCTGGTCAGGAAGGACTTGCCCTTGGTGAAGCCATGCTGACTGTCTCGAATCACCTCCCTGTCCTCCATGTGCTTTAGCATAGCTTCTAGGAAGATCTGTTCCATGATCTTCCCAGGCACAAAGGTGAGGCTGACAGGTCGGTAGTTCCCAGTTATAGACCGTCCTCAAAAGAATGTGTCTCCTAGTAACTGCAGGCAAAAATTTTGCATGCGCTAATGGTATTGGAAAGGAAAACACCTACAGGGAAACAGTACCTTGGTAAGATAAATAAAACAAGCAACGTGCCAACTATCAAAAGCATGATCTTCCATACTACAAGCTGCTTTCATCACTCATTTTTCACAATATAGCATGGAACCAAATCAGTCACGCTGACTGGAGGAGTCATCTCTGGAGGAGTCATCTTCTTTGTATCTTAATTCAACACCCACAAGGTGTTCAATAGTTCCATTTCTCTTTCATTTTGGTTGGCTATTTAGATTGTCTTTCCCCTCACAGAGCCTGCACGTTTCCACTACACGCATGTGCTAACTTCACCCCATTACTAGGTGCCCAGGAACACTATCATGGTTGGAGTATGACTGAAGTTCCAGCTCATTTCTCCTCTGTGGACCTTACATGGTAGGAGTGTACCCTGGCAGGGGAAAGAGGACCCCTAAGCAAAACAGGCGACGTGCCTTGAAGGAAGGGGGAGCATTAAGTCACTATAAGGTTAACAGCAGCAGTATCCTAAAATACCTTTACAGCTCAGCTATATGTGTTTGGGACCTTTGCCAATGTACTTTTTCTTCAGAGACCAAGTCTGTATGAGGTAATGAGGTCAGGGATGTAGCAGAGCCCTAGGACTTGCAGATACTCTGATTTGTTAGCTACATCTTGCTTGCCTGATGTCTATCAGGTTAGAAGATACCAATATACTTTTATTTGCTTACTAGATGAAAACGAATGCTCCAATCCTAATGTGTGTGGCTCTGCTTCTTGCTACAACACACTTGGAAGTTACAAGTGTGCCTGCCCATCTGGATTTTCTTATGACCAATTCTCCAGTGCATGCCATGATGTGAATGAGTGTTCTTCTACCAAGAACCCCTGCAATTATGGTTGTTCCAACACTGAAGGTGGTTATCTTTGTGGCTGTCCACCTGGCTATTACAGAGTTGGACAAGGGTGAGTATCTCCACGCAGTCCTTCATCAGACACATTCAGAATGCTATAAAAAGGCTGGACCCTAGTCAGACTGAATAGCAGATGTGCAAATGAAGGACAGGCTACTAAGTCATCCTTTCTACTGCTTTTGCACACAATATCCACAAGCTAGAAAAAAATACATGTCTGTACATGCAGCATGACACTCATTTTAAATCTAGTATATAAGCAACATTAAACAATTAGTTCTGCTTTCTCCCCCAGACAGCACAAGAAATCCTTCACAAATCTGTTCAATGAGGACGTTTACTGCGTAAGGATAGGTACCATCTGTACTGAGATAATTAAGGGTTTTAAGCCACACTGATCAACGCAGAACATTAAACACAAATTAACATTGTTCTGGTACATGACAATGGCTAAATTCTTTAGTCCCAAAGTTCAGGGCAGGCTGGTTTTGTTCTGTTTTTTTGTAAAACTCGTAAATGAAAGCTAGAAAAGCCTACAGGCCTTCAGCCAATGATTGTATTTCATTCAGCATGCCACACTAGTGTGAAGAAAATTAATGCACAGACCTCCTGCTGAGGGGAGGGAAAGGAAGGGGATACAGACACTGTGGTACAGATTACATACACTCACTTTCCATTTAACAGGACAGTTCATAAAACTGCAAGAAGTAACTAAAACAGATGTTTTTATTCAACAGCCACTGTGTCTCAGGGATGGGATTTAACAAAGGCCAGTACCTGCCACTGGATGGAGATGCTGATGAAGAGAATGCTTTGTCCCCTGAAGCATGTTATGAATGCAAAATCAATGGCTATTCCAAAAAACACAACAGGAAGAAGAGAAGTGTTAATGACACTGTACGTACCAGGATAAATAAGCACTATAATGTACTATGAGGTATTTTCAGAGATACCATACTCAACACTATCAGTAAATGGAGGTAATTTTTTAACAGGCCACCACATTCAATGGCAAAAATCTTTTTTCCCTGCCTCAGTGGTTTTCACATTTGGGTCCTATTGCCAGGAACGATGTGACAATCAGAAAGACATCAACAACTATGAATCGTTGAAGTTTTAAAGCTTGTAAAGAATCCTTTGTAGTGCAAGATGTGATCTAGTTCCTCAGAATATATTAAGGGAAATAATTTTCCTATAATTACAGAGAGCTGGGAAACTGGTCATGTCTGCAATCTGTTCTGCTGTCAGGAGGAGATTGGACAGCATTTTATGGTCTGGGAAAGCTAAATAGATCTTCTTGCAGATCATTTTACTCTATTCCACAGTTGCTAACAATTGTGGTGGACTAGAGTCCATGACCTAGCTGATACACTTAAGTCCAGTATTTGGAGAATTGCTGAGGGTATTAGAGAATTAAACTTAAGACTTAATTTTTTTCTTAACTGCATTTTGTAGGCTTATTAGTTACAGGATACTTGCAAGAGGACACTTGTGAGTCACTATTTATGCCTTTCAGATGCTTTTTTTCAAAAGTTAGAAGAGTATACCTGTGTATCTGTTATCTGCATTATCTGTGTGATAGGATGTTGTCTCGTAGCATTAGCTCTGGTCTGGAAATCTGCAGTAATGGGAAACTGACTCAATTTAGAGGTGGGCACACACACAGATTTTCCTTCAGTAGTACAAGAGCTGTGTAATGCAAACAGGCAAAAATGCAAACCCTCAACTAAAATAGTAAGGTGTGCTAGCCGCATGAGTTACATTGAAATAATGGCGAAACAAGTCTCCTTTCTAAAAGGGTAAGGACATAAAACAATCTAGAAGCTCCAGCCTTAGTACACACTACTTTGAATGATGCCATCCAAGCTGGTTCTGGTATTGGCAAAGTTTCTAAAGAAGCCAGTAATCCTATAATTTCTGCTCTAAAGGATATAATGTTGGCACTTAAAACTTCAGTGTTTGATTTCCCCCCACACATCCACACTTCCCACAAACATCCCTTTTCCCTCCCCACTGCCACTCCCGTTGGACCTGTTCCAGTCTGAATTCTGTGGTCAACCCACCACAGAAATACACGGATGTTTTGAAAAGCATTTTTTGTATTGCACAGTTAATTTCGTATCTAGTTCATAATTGTTATATCTTGTTATTATGGTTTTTTTAATAACATTAACCTTTTCAGTTTCTAGTAGTAGAACTACCTGAGCAGTAAAAGTGAAAGTTTCACATCCATAAAACTATGTGAAAAAAGAAATAATCTTATCACTAATGACATCTACAGGATGCGGGATTTAAAACACTACTGTACTTGCTCCTGTCCACAGATTTTCCTTGTTTTCATCATGTGTTTTTAATTACATTACATATTAGTACACATCTGTACTCAAATGTGATTGGAATTCCCTTAGAGGAGAAATCCTTTGCTATCTTTATAAGCATGAAAGGATCTTAACATGTAGGCTAGGTACCTTGCTTAGTATCAGGTTTCCTAAAGAGGACTACAGCCTATATCTTTCTGTAGAAGCCTTTCAAAAGCTGTTGATTGTTAGATGGCTTTCCTAGGAATGACTCATTCTCACACCCCACCCCCCCGAGTGTGTTCACAGCTAACACCTCTGGACAGATTCATACCTGCAGCAGAACTATACTGAAGCTCAAATTAGAAAAGAACACAACTGATTTGTCAGAAAAACAATGCTGGGACTTTTTTCCACACTCCTTTCAGTGGTCCAAATAGGATGTAATTGGACAACTTTCTGTAGAAGGCTAACAAATCAGCAGTTCTCTCCTTACGTCAATTTCCTTTATAATCACTGTACTCCCTCATCACAAATGCTGAACCTGCTTGTTTTTAGAAGCCAGGATTCATTAAAACAGTTTTACCAGAAGTTTCAGGGATTCCCATAGTGTTGTGCTATGTGTTTCTGTAATGTTCCTCACTGAAGTTGATCATAAGAACAAGACTGTGCCTCACATACAGTCTTTACTGCAGCAATAAACATAGGTCTCTTCTTTCGATGGACTATTGCAAGCACAAAGTTAACCAGATTCTGAAAAGAATCTGAAATCTGAGCCCCCTCTGTAGACCTGATGCTGTAATTTTAATTATCTTGTTAAGCTTGTATGAGAAGCCTTTAACATTTACAGGGTGTGTTATTTGGAATCAAGCAGTTCTTCCAGGTGGAAAGGATTTACAATTGCTTCTTTCACAGCTAGATTCTGACAAATGCCGAAACTGTTAATTATCACATATTATTCTTCTCTCAGTGCAAATGAATATCTGCTTCTCTCCTGCTCTTAACAATCTTTCCTCCTTTACTTCAGATTGAGCAGATTAGCTTGGAAAGTCTAGACATGGATAGTCCTTTGAAGATGAGAGTCAACATTTCCAGGCTTGACAACAAGGAGCACATCCTAGAACTCGTGCCAGCCATTGAGCCCCTTACCAACCATGTGCGCTACATCATCTCACATGGCAATGATGATGGCATCTTTCAAATCCATCAGAGGGATGGACTGAGTTATTTGCACACAGTTAAGAAGAAGTCAGTGCCTGGAACTCACACACTGGAAATCACTAGCATTCCTCTATATAAGAGAAAGGAGCTAAAGAAACTGGAAGACAGCAATGAGGACAACTACCTCCTAGGAGAGCTCGGGGAAGCTCTCAGAATGAGGCTGTGGATAGACCTCTACTAACTATCTTCCAGGCTGAGTCCAGTTCTTCAGTCACTTCTGTTCACCTATCTACCCACCTGAGCATATCTGCTTTTCAAAGGCTTTGAAACAGTCACTGATTTTGGGGGGAGGAAGGGAGAGGGGAAGACCTCTTTCCATCCTGCCAAGACTGCAGAACCACCCTTGCAGGAGGGTAACTTAAACTCTGCCACTGCCAAAACTTTGATTACAATGGCAATCATGGTTACTGTATCTTTTATATAACCTCAGTTTAAAGTATATTAAAAAGCTAAAGTTCAAGAAGTCATCATATGGCACTAAATGGCACAAAAATGTGAGCTATTTTTTTCCTGTTAGCAGTCTGTAACACTTTGGGTATTTTGCTATAGTTCCTAATGAAAAAAATATAGTTTATTTATTTTTAATGCAGTAATATATGGAGAAAATAACAAATTATGTAAACAAAAAGGGAAAGTTGCTTGTTGTTCTTTAGATTTATAAATTTGAGTTATAACATTTTAGAGGTACTTTCTTAATTAAAAAAAAATAGATTTGAAGGATGTTTCATTTTGTATTTGGGCCAGTCATCCAAATAGTATATAAGTGATTTTAAAATGTATCAGAGCTGAAAGAGCACTGTAGTACATCTTCTGGATATTCTAATGTGCTCTTGCAAAACTTTGAGTATTCAAAAAAAAGAATAAAAAAGCGAGTCTTAAAGGATAAGAATTACAATATCAGTCTCTGCAGAGATCATATTTCACAGCAGCTCAATAGGATTGTATTCTGAATCAGCCACATCAAATAATGGAAGAAGAGGCACAACCACTGTAGCAAAATACCTTGACTGCTTTTAATACCATTAGAATTGCAGAACCAAACTGTACTGTACTTCCTTCCAATAACCTCAAGGAACCACACATGCAACCACACCTCATTCTCAGAAAAGGTGCTCTACAAACTTGCATTACTGTAGGCAGCTGAAGAAAATGTCTCTCTGAAGGGAATGCGTGATGTTTCATACTGTTTGGTGCTGGCTTGAATTAATGGTGCATTTACTAAAAACTGAGAGCTGTATCAGGACTGCCATATGTGCAAACTAATTATGCAGCGCAGACAAGGAAAATGTGTATTTGAAATCCATTTGTTAGAAGTTTCATTAATACTGTAGTTATACACCGTACGCCTCATTTTATCATAGCTTATTTTGTAAGAAAGTTGTTTGTACAATGAGTTGACATTTAGTTTACTTTAGGTGTTTGTTTTTTTTTTTTTAAATGTTGTACCAGTATGTGTTAAGTGTATGTCTCAATGGTGCTTTTTTTGGCAGCTGGTGCCTGTAACTAGTCATGTAACAGAATCTCATATGTGAAAACAGCCAAAGCACATGCTGACTCCAGGATTGTTTCAGTTGCGTATCAATACTGACCAAAGATTATATCAAGTTATACTCAGTGATTTTTCTTTTCTTTTCTTTTGTTAAGTTTGGGGATTTTGAAAAGAAAAAGAAACTTTTTACATTTTTAATCAAACGTTTGTAAGAAAAAAAGTTTTGTTTGAAGGTCTGTATCAGTAAGACAACACTTTTCTTGCAATAAAGCTTATTTTGGTATAGTTTTTTTTCTTTGAAATGTCTGTGTTCTTTATGCAAAATAAGTGCCTAATTGTAAATCTGAAGGATTTCAGAGCACAAAAAGGAGCTGGTATAATGCAAACTCTTCTTCACTCACATTTATGGTTATACAGCATTTGCTGACTTAGTTTCTCTGTCATGAGAGAGCTGAAACACAGGAATTAAACTGTCCTTAAAAAGTTAAAACTCTGTCTCAACTCTCTCAAAATCTGTCATATATTAGGTTCAAGTGGGCTGGCTTTGCAGAAGGTCTTGTTTATCCATGTAATGAGGGCACAATTTAAGTTTGATAATTCAGCTCTAAAAAGTAATTGCCATACATTTAAGAGTAGGAGTGTAAAACATCCATCTTACCTGAACAGCAAAAATCTGCTAAGACCATCAATAAATGTACTTTTGCTTGCTGGCAGTCCCTTCCTTGAATGCCCTCCATTACATACACGGTCAAATCCAACAGTGCAAAAAATGTTTTTTCTTAAAGTATGCAAGGTTTCCACAAAGACCTCATTACCTAAGTCTTTTTAGTGTATTTAAACTAGTGATTGTTTTTAAGTAGTAGCCCATACTGACGGTATGTTTTTGTCACAGTGATAATAGCCAGAGAAAGGGTAATCGGACACATTAGGTTAAGCACTGAATTAAGATGCAAAATGCTTGTTCTAGATATATTCTTTAGTTTCTGAATATAATATTAGACTTCGTCTGCACCAGCAGAATTCGCCCTACATATTCTATTGCTGTTCTTGTGGAGGAGTGGCACTTCACAATTTAATTGCATTAAAAGCCAGGTTGCAGGTTTAAAGTTCTAATTACTGGATGCAGTAACAATGACTTTGCCTAGCGTTTGAGAATTTTTTCAGCATAAAATTGCTCTTCTCCATGCCTTGAAAGATCCAGGCTAACATACTTCTCCTGCCACCCTGCTGTCCCTCTCCTCTTGCCTGAAATATACTCATAAAGTAATAGAAGAAATACAAGTTTTTAAAGCAATCATACACTTAAATTTCACTTAAAGAAAATAATTAGGAATCATACACTGAAATTTCACTCAAGAAACAAAATAATCGGGAATTACGGCATTGTAATTGTTTTCATAAGTACTGATTTATTTGGTGGGAGTTATTTGCCTTTAGTATTCCTTAAAACCTACATATGTATGCAGATTTATCTAATAGTGCATCAGTTTAAACAGACAATATGAAATTGCCTGGAACCAGACTTATCTGACATTACCTTCAGATATGGTTGTGCAAGTTTCATTATGACATTATGATTCAAAGGTGCTTGTAGGTAAAATGATTGACATCTACAGAAATAAAAAGACCTCTAGAGGTCTGAAATATATATCCAGCATGGCACTGACTTAAGACTTAACAGCTCTAACAGCTAGTTTCCAAGAAGGCTATTCTCTGTCCAAAGTGGGAGCTTTCCAGGAAACACTTACTGCAAGAAAAGCGAACAGACTGAACCCAGTAGAGCATTACCCTTTGTTGCCAAGTCTCAAAAAAAGGAGAGAAAATAGTAGCAACACTCTTACTAATGACTCCTCTGAGGCTTCAAGTTCTGGAGGATTTTATTGGTAGACGGAAATTATTTGCATGTGCTATGCACACTTAATAGATTTAAAGCCTTTTTTTCTGAAGAAGAAACTATCATCAGATAACATCTGTGTTAACTAATGATACAGTAAGTACAAAGTACAAAAAATAGCTTATCCCCTTACTGGAAAGGCAGGATTATCCTCTACCATCTTAAAATGCACAAGACAGTTATGCACAATACCCAGAAAGAAGTCACCCCCAGCTTCAAATCCAGAAGAAAAAATATCTCGGAATAAAAAAAAAAAAAAGCCCATGCAAGAAATCCGAAAGAGAGCTACTTCCTTTCCACCCAACCTACCATAGTATACACTTGCACAACCATTTCTCCAAACTCTACCCTTTAATAGCCTTTAGCCTTTTAATTTCTGAACATTTAATGAGGAAGCTGACTACACATGCACAGAAAGACTAATGTTCCAGAAAGCTACAAAACCCCAGAATCTGTTGCTAACAGTAAAGTGAAAATTGTCTTGCTATTTAAGAGAGGCTGCAGCATAAATCTGTCATGGTTTAACCCCAGCTGGCAACTAAGCCCCACACAGGCACTTGCTCACTCCCCCCCTGGTGGGATGGGGGATAGAATCAGAAGAGTAAAAGTGAGAAAACTGGTGGGTTGAGATAAAGACAGTTTAAGAAGTAAAGCAAAAGCCGCGCACACAAGCAAACCAAAACAATTAATTCATTCACTACTTCCCATCGGCAGGCAGGTGTTCAGCCATCACCAGGAAAGCAGGGCTCCATCATGGGTGACGGTTACGTGGGAAAACGAATGCCATCACTCCAAACATTCCCCTTCCTTCTTCCTTCCCCCAGCTTTTTATGCTGAGCATGACATCATATGGTATGGGATATCCCTTTGGCCAGTTGGGGTCAGCTGTCCCAGCTGTGTCCCCTCCCATCTTCTTCTGCACCCCAGCCGCCTCACTGGTGCGGTGGTGTGAGAGGCAGAAAAGGCCTTGACTCTGTGTAAGCACTGCTCAGCAATAACAAAAATATCCCTGTGTTATCAACACTGTTTTCAGTACAAATCCAAAACATAGCCCCATACTACCTACCGTGAAGAATTTTAACTCTATCCCAGCCAAAACCAGCACAAAATCTCTTGGCAACATGAAGCAAGATTGCAGTGAGTAAAGGTAACATCTAAGCTGGGCCTAGACAGTAGGAACTTCACCAGTGCACTCTAGCAAGTCTATACTTCCTCATTATAATAATTTTTAAATACCTATGTATAAATAATTCCTAACCTAAATTTTTTTTTTTGAGGAAAGTGTTTCGGTTCTTTCCAGCTTTACTGCAAGGACTCAGCCCCTCAGCTTTATAGCTAAACATTTGCTTTCCCAGTATGAACTTTCCAGCTGAACTAAAAACCACAATATTACCAGGCCCATCAAAGCATGAATGCCTCCTTTTCTATCCTCAAATGCTCCAGCGTGTTTGACCTCTGTGTATGTGTCTAAGAAGTGTGTACAGACTTTCTAGGGCTCCTCCTTCTTCCTCAAGCATGGCTCCAATTCAACAGACAAGGGAGCACTGCTGGGAGTATTGCTGAGTTTAAGCATCCAGTAATTATTTCTGAGCACACATGTCCTTTCTTCATAGCCACACCTCTTAATCTAACTAGCAGTAATGCTACAGCAATCCAAACACCCTGTTATTTCATGTTCCTTCTCTGACAGGATGGGCCTGTAACAGTTTTTCATAGTCCAAGCTCTTCAGTCAGCATTCTAGAAAGGACTATTTTTCTATGGGTTTTTATTAGACTGACTTGGAATCACCAGTTAAACTTTGGTGTAATGGATATGGTCTGTAGACCGACAGCTGAAGAACCTGCCTTTGTGCTAAACCCACAAAAGAATTCAGGAGTGGCAACGCACTGCAAAACTAAACACAGCAAAAATCTCACTGCCTTAAGTGTATTTCTTAATTTTTCCCATGTGTTATAAATGAAGCCTAAGCACCTAAACCACCCAGTGCTGCAAAACAGACATGTCTTAAATCCATGAAAAGGGCTGGATTTACGAACTTCACGCTGAGGGGATGAAGACTCACAACTCTACGTTCACAGTCCTTAAAGCAGGAGAGAAGGAAAACATGAGAGGGCAGAAGTACAACATTTTATATCTAAAATAAAAACCTAGTCCCCAGTGCAACTGCTTATGTATTTGACACCAAATTGCTACAGCAGAGATAGATAGGAAGTTCTTTGCTA